CATAAGATTTCTTCTAGTTGCAGATCCAGACTACTCTTCCATGCACAACTGTGGGTTTAGCCTACTTCTAAACCCTCTCACAAGACTTCTTTTAGTCACTATAGCCCTTGGCCATGCCATTCGAGTACTCTCAGGAGCTGGTCTACTTTGCTCGCCACCATTTTCGCAAGCTTCACCTCTAAGCCACTTTGCTTCTTTTACAACTGAGGTTCAAGTGCTTGCTAGGAGGGTTTTTATAAGCGTTTTGGTGTTGCCTATGGACCAGGTTCATGCAGAATACACGGACAAGCTACTGACTCCTATACAGGTTCATGAGCTACACTACAAGGGTAAAGTGTGCCCGACTACACCTTTTCAGTGTACAGTCGGCCTTTTTCCCAGCACATGTGAAGTCACAGTACACTTGGGAGCACCTTTGATGGCATATTCCTTTGAATATCCTGAGCATCTTTGGAACAACTGTACTAAAGCTTTGCATGTGACTTTGACACATCTTACCTGCTTCTGTACAAGCAGACAGCAAGAGGCTCGGGGGCTACACTCATTGAGTGCACTTTCCTAAAAAGTGAACGTCACCCGGAGGCTTTGTAGAGCACCTCATGGCTTTACTCACGAAGGCACTTGGAATGCACTTGTTTCTACTCGGCAAAGCCAAGAGGAACAAGGAGGCTTCCAAGTTCAACCATGACACGCTCAAGGGCTTGACAGACCAGGGTCCTAGGGGGTTCCCTATGGGAGTTCCACCTAGATGGGCCCTGGGATGGCCCACGATCTGTTGAAGGACGCGAGACAAGGTGGCGTGGGATTCAAGCTATTTCAGATCGACTTAGTCGGCTTATTATGAAAGCTAGATTTTATAATAGGATTAGGACTCTTCTCTTGTAACCGACTAGGACCAGATACGTGCCCTTATCCTCTCTCTTATATAAACAGAGGAACGGTGCATCCCCTTATAACCTAACAATCATACAATCAATCCAACACAAAAGGCATCACGCCGACTGGACGTAAGGCTATTACTCCACAAGGGGGTCTAAACCAGTATAAATAGTTTGTCTCTTTGCATTTACCGACGAGTTCTACGTACGACGAAGCCCTCCGAACACCGTCTCGGGTACCCCCATGATGGGTTGCCGGTCATCAAACACCGACAAGACTTAAACTTCTAGTTTCTGAGCTGAAGTGTTAAATACTTAGTTTATGGATATACTATTTCTTGACTAAATTGATCCTTCTAAGATTAGTTAATATGCTAGTATAGTCCAATTGTTCATGTGCTTCTAGAAATTTAGTTTTCTTTCTACCTACATGGTAGTAGTGCACAAAGAACTGTATAACCTTCATGGTTAATTGAGGCTTCTTTGTGGATAAAATTAATGCAAATTTTGTTTAGATAGGCAAGAGACAATTGTTTATATGTAAAACATATAAATCTGATGCATTCCATGCAAGATTAACATATATTACTGCAAGTAAAAATTACAATTAAGAACTTCATATTAGTCTTCAAGCTAATAAAGTAACCATTAACTCTTCTACGAGTTTACATAATCCACTTAATTCAACAAGAATTAAAACTTAATGCACCACCGCTACTACTAGTACTTCAGGATAGTAATTTCAAAGACAAAACAAATATGTAAGCACATGATTCAAGTTCTTCTTCAAGAAAACCCTTAAATATTCTAAATAATATCCATTCTGACATGTCTTTACTTCTATACATGATAGACAGTAACTTCATGCTTTATTCAATAGTTATGATATAAAGTCACAAGCCTTCAAGGGGTGTAACATATGAAAGCTAACAATATCCTAGTTTATAAAGCTGTCTAAAAATTCCAACTCAATTTTTATTTTAGTAATTTCTGATGATAAATTCAAATACTTCATGTATTGCATTGCTCTTTAATATTCTATATACAAGAGATTTCTTCGAGAACATTCATTGATAAAATCTTATTTACCATCTTGTCTTCTAAACATTTAATACAAAGCTTCAAGCTATTGTTTATTGAACAACATTATACCTCAATCTATAGGTATACAAGCTTGAAAATTCAACTTTCAATGCAATATGATATTCTATAGTCATAATTTGGTATTTTTCTCATGCAGTGAGTCCCACAATGCATTTGTTATTTCTCTCGATCATATACTCATTCTAGAGAGTAATCAGGAGATATATATCCTAAATTCACTACGCTTCAATGGTAGCAAAATATCCTACATGGATTTAATAATGACCATAATAAATAATTCAACTTTTCAAAGTAATTCCAGGATATTTCTTCTTTCTTTAAGGCATGCATATTAATATAAATTGGACCATGTGCATATAAGTTTACTACATGTAAACAAGTAGCAAGGTGCAAAAAGATAGTGGATAGTTATGCAAAATATTCTTAAACACATACTAGCATTTCATGATATAATCATGGTACATGCTAATTTTCAAAATTAATACCAACAATTCATTTATCCCAAAAATTCATTATGCTAGAAAAAAAATGAGCCTCTCAAAGGTGATAAGTCTGCAGGATTTAGAGAGCACATATATCTTATACCATGTTTCTAGTGTAATCATTCAAAATTTTAATCTTGTAGTTACATGGTACATTCATAATGCATCATAGATAAATGCATTCAAACGAGCATAAACATATCAACACATTGCATATATACATGAACATAAAACTATAAATGTATCTGAACAAAAGAATTTTGTTATACTATTAAATTGCCAACACACGTTTTTTTCTGCAGGAATCTCTTAATTTTATTGTGCCATACAGTTTTCAGAATGCATATGGATCATATAGGAAATATTATTCAGAACATAGCATAGTTTTCCCCTTTTCTGAAGGGTTATTTATAAAGAACCATAAATTTATAATTACTAGAAAGTACCGCTCATATTCTTCTAGAATACAAGACCATGCATAGGTTCTGCAAGCTTATATATACATGTATTTCATATTACAATATGGCCCTTGTTTTTCTGATCTCTTGGAATTTTCCGCGTGGCCCGTCAATTCGTTTTCGGCCGATTTGGTCCATCGTCTCCCCTTAACCCGAAAGCCTTTTCTCAATCCTTTTTTTTTCCTCGGCCCATAAGAGCCTATGCGACCCATCGTATGGTGGACCTAGTGTTTAAATAGTAATAATAAAATAAATTATAAAAGTTCTCAGTAATATACGAGACGAATTTATTAAACCTAATTAATTCATTATTAGCATATGTCTACTATAGCATCATGTTGGCAAATCATGGATTAATTGAGTTTAAAAAATTCGTCTCCTATAATCTATATAATTAATTATTTATTAGTCTATATTTAATATTTCTTGCATACGTCCAATCATCCGATAAGAGAGAGAGAGGGGCTTTTCCCCTCGCAGCGGCGTCGCCGTGGGACGGAGACGGACGCGGCTGTCTACTGCTGCTGGAGCAGCCTGCGGGATCGGACAGAGACTGTACACTCATGATGACCCCGATGACTGAAAGGGTGGCGCGGCTGCTAGCCAGGATATGATGGTCGACAGCGCAGGATACGAGCTTCTGCGGTGCCGAGTGCCCTAGCAACAACGGCGGATTCCCGCGTGCGTGCAAAGGTTGTGGGTATCTTCGTATGTGGTTGCATACTTGCAGCGTTCTGATGTGCGTGCAGGCACCTTGCGCTTGCGTGAAGGAAGCGACCATATATTGTAGCCAATATTGAACACGTTGAAACGTTCCAAAATAATCTGCTAGATGAACGACCAACAAGATCCAGTACGTCTCCATTATGGTTGCTATGCCACGTGATGCAAAAATCATATTGTTGCGTGGCCTAACATCAGGCTCTTATGTGGTCTCATGGCCGCATGCAGGCAACATAAAACGAGTCGGTGCCCGGGTGCCGACACAAAGTAGATTGGAAAAATAAATAAATCTGATTTTATGGCCAGACGTAAACCAATCTACTATTCCGAATCAAATCATACCTTTGATTTTTATAAGGATGCCAATTGATGTGCCTCACATGCGCGTAGGGACAATGATTAGTAGATACATACCACGTTGGGCGTTTGACATTGTCGTAGAACATCTGCTTGACAGCGACGATGTATGTCGATATAGTGCAGATTAGTTGCAGGTAGAGGTAGCAGATCTGTTCTCGCTAACAACGTCGGGATGTCGACGTCGTCGAAGTAATCGCAACAGGGACGTCGGCCACAGCTTCAACGGCGATGTCAACGTGGAGCTTGTCGTGCTGATAACGTGTTATAAAACATATTGCCAGCGGTTAGGACATTTTCCTTTTCGTCTCTCATGATTAACATGGTAGATAAAAGTAGAACACGGACACAAGAGATAGGGAGATTTTTCTTTATTTTTTCTCAATATTGGTGATTACAATATAGAGTTCCCACATATATATAGTCCTGCCAAGACCTAAGAGTTTGATAAGAGTCCACATACAAATAGACTAGGATTATGATTCCTCCTCCTTTCCTTCTATTATAGAATCCGTATGTTTTACAACATATTTCTTTTAGAGTAAAATGCATCGGATGTCCATTAATTTTTGTTAGTGTGTCGTCCAGGTCCATCAACTTCGAAACTGTATTTTTAGGCCATGAACTTTTAAAATGGTTCAGGTCCATATCATTTATTTAACCTTAAATTCAAAGTACATTTACAGAAAACCCTACCTTTCTTCGCGCTGCTCGTTTCGGCACAACCTGCCTCGTCGCGGGAGAGCAGCCCTTCGCGGGCGATTGTAGCCAAGCAGCAGCGGCAGCACGACCTACCGATGCATTCGCCGAAGTCGTCGCGGGAGAGCAGCCCTTCGCGGGCGAGGTCGTTGAATCGCTCCTCGATGCGGCGCCACAGCTCGGCGGCCTCGACGGAGCCCGTGGTGCGGCTGATGAAGCGGAGGCCCTTGAGCGCGCGCCTGGCGCCCGCGCGGGAGCGGTTGAGCTGCGCCTGCTCCCTCCGCTGCTCGCGCGCCGCCATGGCCGCCTCCCGCTGCAGCTCGACGGGCGTGGGGCGGTACGGGCCGGGACGAGGACGGCGACCACCGCAAGGCTACGTATATATATTATCACGTAAGCTTTCTAGGTTTACACGTACGCTGACTACCAAGCAAATCAAAGCACAACCAATCATGTCTGGTCGTCGTCGTTCGTGGACAATATGGGCGCCTCTCCTGGCGTCGCTGCTGCTCGTCGGGCTCGCGTCGTCGTCGGCCGCGGGCGCCAAGGTGGTGGAGGAGGAGGAGGACGACGACGGCGGAGCCAGCAAGAAGAAGCCCCACGTTAACCACGGCAAATTCAAGGCGGACCCGTGGACGGACGGGCACGCGACGTTCTACGGCGGGCGCGACGGGTCCGGCACCACGGACGGCGGCGCGTGCGGGTACAAGGGCGAGCTGGGAAAAGACTACGGCGAGCTGACTGCGGCCGTGGGCCCGTCACTGTACAGCAACGGGGCCGGGTGCGGCGCGTGCTACGAGCTCAAGGGCACCAAGGGCACCGTGGTGGTGACGGCCACCAACCAGGCCCCGCCGCCGGTGAGCGGGCAGAAGGGCGAGCACTTCGACCACACCATGCCGGCGTTCCTCAAGATCGTGCCCATCACCTACCGCAAGTACGTAGTAGTAGTGCAGCACTTCCGTATGCATGCGCATCATCTACCGATCTACGTACAAACAATTGACACACGCATATGCAGGGTGGCGTGCGTGAGGCAAGGCGGCATCCGGTACACGATCACGGGGAACCCGCACTACAACATGGTGATGGTGACGAACGTCGGCGGCGCCGGGGACGTGGTGGGGCTGTCGGTGAAGGGCAACAAGCGCGTCAAGTGGACGCCGATGAAGCGCAGCTGGGGCCAGCTCTGGACGACGGAGGTCGACCTCACCGGCGAGTCGCTGACGTTCCGCGTCATGACCGGCGACCACCGCAAGGCCACCTCCTGGCACGTCGTGCCCCGCGACTGGAAGTTCGACAAGACGTACCAGGCCACCAAGAACTTCTAGGATCAGATCGGCCGGGGAGCCCTTCCGGCCGGCCCCTTCTTTACGCATGCATATTGTATTGTATTTTTGTATATACTACATTACTACATACAGTACCTTGTTTCATTTCATGCTTAACATATTGACTCCATGGTTTGTACTGAAAAATTGGACTGAACCTCCGTTGCTGGAGTCAATAAACTGTTGACATGTTCCAATTTCAACACCCGTAGAGCGCGGCGCTGGTGGGCGTGACGCTGCGCACTACCATGGACTCCTCGTCCAGCTCCAGCATGACCTCCACCAGGTCCCCCTGGTCCGCGAGGAATGCCGACAGCATGCCGCCGCCACCGCCGCCGCTCCCGGCGGCGGCGAAGAACTCCTCCCCATAGGCGGTAGTGTAGGACTCGTTGTCGGACGCGTCGGTGGCGACGGTGGTGGTCTGGTAGGCCGCCAGGTAGTCCGTGATGCGGCGGTGGCCGCTGCGCCGGGCGCTGCTCCCACGCAACGGCGTCCACATGGCGGCTGCCGTGGCGCGAGAGCTGTCGTCCTCCTCTCCGAGGCGGCACGGCGGTGGTTGCGTGCCCCGCCAGGCCCGGCCCTTTTATTATCTTACCCGTAGTTCCAGTCCGCACCGTAATGCGTCCGTCCGTCAGCCAGCTATCCCCGTTCCCGTGGGCAGGCACCAGGCAGCAGCGGCTGGGCGGTAGGCGGCCCGCGCCCCGGGCCGGTGATTCCTTCGCGGGCGCGGCCTCCTCGCGCTATTTTTTTCTCTCGTTTGCATCCTGCGGTTCTACCACGGCGCTGGGCGAGCTTAGCTTTTGGCCGCTCTCGCCGTCGCCGTCGCCGTCGCCGTCCCCGTCCCCGTCCCCGTACCACCCCACGCCCATCGAGCTGCAGCGGGAGGCGGCCATGGCGGCGCACGAGCGGCGGAGGGAGCAGGCGCAGCTCAACCGCTCCCGCGCGGGCGCTAGGCGCGCGCTCAAGGGCCTCCGCTTCATCAGCCGCACCACGGGCTCCGTCGAGGCCGCCGAGCTGTGGCGCCGCATGGAGGAGCGATTCAACGACCTCGCCCGCGAAGGGCTGCTCTCCCGCGACGAGGCAGGCTGTGCAGAAACGAGCAGCGCGAAGAAAGGTAGGGGGTTTTCGGCAAATGTACTTTGAATTTAAGGTTAAATAAATGGTATAGACATGTAATGAACCATTTTAAAAGTTTATTATCAAAAAATATAGTTTCAAAGTTGATGGACCTAGATGACACCCTAATGAAAGTTAATGGACCTCCGGTGCATTTTACTCTTTCTTTTACGACGCATCTAAAATATAATGTATATCTCAGTGTATAGCAAAAGTTATGTATCTAGAAATATCAAAATGTTTTATAATTTGGAAATGATGGAGTATTTGACAATTTTGGGAAGAATTTCCTTCCTCATAGACTTTCATACTTGTAATATAATTCAATTTATGCGAAAATTCTCTTAGGACTTATTTGGATACACTCGTATCCATCTTAATTCGTGTGTTTGAGTAGATTAGAAATAGAGCTCGTGGATCTCAACATGGATCCGCCTTCAGCTTTGGTGAGTCTCGCCATGGATCCTCCCTGCCTTGTGGAGATTGATTGGGTCACATATCTCAATGGAGGGAGGAGGAGGAGGCCACGACATGGTGTGAAGGAGAGGGAGACATATAGGAGACAGGCGGATGAAAGCTGACATGTGGGTTTGGCCCACTACAACTTGTCGCCCATGCTACCGAAAGCACCTCTTAAAACAAACTGGATGCCCAAATGTGTGTGGTTTTAATAGTTGGATAGTCAAAGAGTTCTGGTTTTTAGTTCCATAACCAAAATCGAACTTTGGTGATAGTTGGATAGTAAAAAAGGACGTCTCTTACTTTTAAGGTGGTCTTCCTTTATTATAGAAGCAAAGGCTTAGGAAGAGCGATTAAAATCTTTTATCAATGATCCCCGGTCATATCTTTAAAATTGTTTCTTATCTACCCACAATTATAGGTCTATTGGATCCTAGCATCTTTTTTATATATTGCTTGGTGTAGTTTTTTCATAAGTTATGTAGTTGGATAATTGAGAATGTGCAATTTGCTTTTCTATTGGTTTTTTCTTGATTGAAACATTCCCTCGGTAGCAGTAAGTTTGACAAAAAATCTATATACATGACAAATGAAGTACTCTCACTCAAAATGCTTTGGAAAATTTTAACTAAGATTGGCCCTTCCAAAATGAGGTGGTTAAGAGAAAAGAAACTAACCATGAACACATGTTTCCACCATTTCCTTTTCACGTCATACAAAAACAAAAGTTGCATATAAAGAAGACATGATAATTAAACAAGTTAATTCTAACGTATCTTTTGATGCCATTCGTGGATATCACATTCAATCTTTGTCAAAGCGTGATAATTTATCTATTTTTGTCATCATCTCACTTCGAAGCTGTTACCAAACAAAACGAACTGGAGTTAACATAGAAACTGTTTTTGCAATCATGGCATCTACCATAATCTTCCACCGTGATCACTATGGTCACCCTGAGCTCCCTAGATATGATAGGTGATGTAGGATTGTTTTGTTTTGCTCCAATATCTTATATAGCCTAGCTAGCCTAGCGAACAGCTATCCATGTAATCCGGTTGTATCGATATGTATATAATATATAGGGAGGAAAACTACTTTCGAGAGAAACATATGCTCATATATATGCAGTATGTATTATATTATATTATATATAAGACCTCGATACAAGTCTAAAACCAAGTATGTTTCCAATTTTTGCATGCAGGCCGACATGCATGATTAATTCATCCGTTTCAACAAAACACCATATCATCACTTTCCCCTTTCCGAGTCACAACATTTTGCGATGCTTGCATGAGTACGCCTAGCAGCAAGTATCAACGTAACCAAACTCTGGATCTCCTCCGGCATCCAACCATTACTCATGATCTGGAACAAGTGTGTTGTAGCATTCCACACAGAAAATGTGATCTTTTTTATCAAAACTTTTCCGCTTTAATGCTTGGTGAAGCGATAATATAGTATTTGCGAGATCAAACCTTAGTTAACTCACATTTAAATAAACTAGATCACATATTTATATATTTAATTAATGCATTCCATATATATTGCACCGTTCCATGTTTTTTTTTGAGGAAATGCACCGTTCCATGTTGAGATCGGAGTTGGCATCATCCAACTTCGCGTTCTCCTCAGTGAAGAGCCGCTGGATCTCCTGGAACAGCATCTTCGAGTCAGGATTCATGGCGCCGGCCAATTTCTTATGCAGTAGGGTGTAGTGGTCGCGAGCTTGTTCATGGCGGCGGGTGCTCTAGGACGGTCGTAGATCGTCCACAAATCGATCAGCGATACTTGGAATTATAGGAATTCGGAAAGAGGCCAGGATTTTGCTGTACCAAATGCAAGTACCAAGTAGTCATCACGGCTACACGGCCACGCTTCATCATCATCTCCGGAACCCATGACCCTAATTTTACCCACCAGCCAGCAGCCTTTGCAAAATGGAACCAAAGGCTTATATTAACTTGATGACCCAACTCATAGCTGAAAATCCCAATGGGCCCGGCCCAATCATCATATATTGGGCGCAGCCCACGGTGCCATAGCTGCCTCATAGGTTTCCCTAAAAAATAGAGCCGCCTCAATAAAAATTAGTCCAAATAGGACACTGGGAAAGTGCATTTAATTAATTAATCCAATCAACAGAGAAAAAAGGGTTTAATATGTAGTTCTTGCAGACTTGATGCATTTGACCTCTCCATGTAGGAGGCATTCTCATCCTCTGTTTTAATAATCAATACAACAGTTGATTCATAAGCTAACTCTAAGTATTTTTTTATATTTTAATAGAAGAGAGAGAAAAACTAACACTTAATCAAGAGCTAGGCTCGTACATATATTTTAAAATCATGTGATAGTGTCACGTGGGTCTAATCATACTATAAGCCATTGTTAAAAGCTAGCATGAAGAGATCGGCACAACTATTGAAGAGATCGGCACAGAGCTGGCCAGTAACTTGCTTATACCATCATCGCAGGTGCCCTGAGTAGCATCGCAAGCCAGCTAGCAGATCGTTAGAATTGGGTGCAGCGAAGTGTTCCATATTATTTATTCTACTAAGCACGAGCTTATTACTATTCCGATGCATGTGACCCATGTTTACTCTAATTACCTCAAACTATTCACGTAACTTTTATATTAAACTGTGCAATTTGTAATATTCCACTATAGGCTACCAATCGATTCCCACTAAGTGCCAACTCATTTTATGTATAATTACTACTTTCAATATATATCAATATACATGGCATATGGACATCATAATATTTGTTTTTTTAAGTGGAAGAAGAATTATATTAGATTATATAGCTGGTACATCATCATGTTACAAGCACTCTGGAATACACTATATATATCCAGAAACGGATTTTCATCTATATAGTACTCACGCTGACAGTTATGTTTTCCTATAATTTGATATAATATTCTATTACCTTTTTATTTAATTATATTCTTCCATAATATAACATCAACATTTCTAAGAAAATCCTATTGCAAAGCACAAGTGTCACGTAGTATAAAATATTTCTAAGAGTATCCTGCAGCAAATCATGCGACAGCCAATCATGCTTGGACAGCCAAGGGCTAGCAGCTCCAAACTGATTCGCCATCATAGATAGATTATTAGATTGGCAATCGGACGCATCATTTTTTTTTCTTTTCGTACCGTGGCCATGCGGGTCTCTTCACTCATATGATTCAGCAGCCTCAGCGTCCAGCCGCCACCCCGCCCACCTCGCCGTCGTACTCGTACTCGCGCGCACCAACCGCCCCGGCGAAGCACAGCACCCATGCCGCCGTCTCTGTCCGACCCCGACATCGACCCGCGCAGCGGCTACTGCGCGGCCACGAGGACGTTCCACGGCCTGCTTTCGCCGGCGCCGCTACCTCCGCCGGACCTCCCGCTCTCCTTCCCGGCATTCGCGCTGTCCTTCCTCCCCGACCCGCTGCCCCCGTCCCGCCCGGCGCTCGTCGACGCAGGCACCGGCGAGGCCGTCCCGTTCCCGGCCTTCCTGTCCAGGACCCGCGCGCTCGCTGCCGCGCTCCGCACCCGCGTCCGCCTCGCCCCGGGCGACGTCGCCTTCGTGCTCGCGCCCGCGGGCGTCCACGTCCCCGTGCTCTACTACGCGCTCATGTCCATCGGCGCCGTCGTGTCCCCCGCCAACCCAGCGCTCACCGCCGCCGAGGTATCCCGCCTGCTCGCGCTCTCCAACCCCCGCGTCGCGTTCGCTGTCGCGGGCACCAGAGGCAAGCTCCCACCCGGGCTCCGCACCGTGCTGCTCGACTCCCCGACTTTCCTCTCGTTCCTGCACGACGAGCCCGAGGACGACGTGGCGGCGGCGGCGGCGGTGGTCCGGCAGTCGGACCCGGCGGCGGTGCTGTACTCGTCCGGCACCACCGGGCGCGCCAAGGCGGTAGTGATCACCCACCGCAACCTCATTCCCTGCACCGCCACGCAGGCGCCGGCCCCGGGGCCGGAGGTGTTTATGGTCGCCGTGCCCCTCTTCCATATCTATGGCTTCATCCTCTGCCTCAGGGTGCCGTCGGCGGCGCACACGCTGGTGCTGCACACGGCCAGGAGGAGGTTCGACGCCACGGCGGTCCTAGCTGATATACCAAGCTTTGGAGTAACGCGCCTGGCGCTGGCGCCCCCGGCGCTGCTGGCCATCGTGCGGGCCGCCGAGGAGGACGTGGCGGCCACCGCCCGCGTGTCCACGCTCAAGGCGGTGACCTGCGGCGGCGCGCCCGTCGCGGCTGACCTCATTGCGCGCTTCTCGCGCAAGTTCCCCGGCGTAAGGCTTGTGCAGGTTCGTTTCACTGCTGCAAGTTCATGTCTTTCATGAACTACTAGTTCATACAAATTGTAATTGTGTGTTCATCGTAGAGTGCAATCTGATGCGCAATTGGTCAGTTAGAATTATACTAATTGTAAATTCAGATAGAGTGCTGCAATCTGATGCTCAATTGCAGTTGCGTAAGCCTTGTGCAGGTTGGTTTCACTGCTGCAAATTCATGTCTTTCGATTCTTAGTTCAGAGATTATCGTAACAACTAGTTCATACAAATCACTTGAAATTGCAATTATGTGTTCATCGTACAATGCAATCTGATGCGCAATTGGTCAGTTAGAATTATACTAATTGTTACTTGTTTCCAATTGCAGTTGTGTACTTGTGTTCATCATAGCATAGAGTGCAATCTAATGCTCAATTGATCAGTTAGAATTGTCTGTGAATTATTACACTATTTTTTATACATATTTCCAATTGGTAAAAGGGATACGGTCATACGGAGACTACATCCGGTTTCTGCCGTGCTGTTGGAGAGGAAGAAGGCGCGGGAATTGGATCCGTGGGCCGTCTTTCATCGGGCGCCCAAGCGAGGATTGTTCATCCAGAAACAGGGGCTGCCCTGCCGCCTGGTGTGCCAGGGGAGCTTTGGGTCCGACCGTCCGAGGCCCTTTTGTAATGAAAGGTAGGTCCATATAACCATGCAATTAGTCTAGTAGTAAAACAATATGCTACTAGTATCCACTTTGCTCGTATGAAATGATAACGTTGCTTTTAAGAGGACCTTTTCCTGCTGATAGCTATAGTTTGAGTGAATCCACAGGGGTATTGTATATTCAGATTCAGATATGCACGCACCTGTGTCGTTTTCATGGAATTTTGGTATGGCCGGACCAGCAATGTCCTGCAATAGTTTTATAAGTTGACAAGAGTTTCAGCTTTTAGAGTGTCTATATTTGCTTCTTCAGCCACCAAAGAAAATATGCTACCAACCTTGCATCTGTATACAGAATATGTAAACTTCACAAAAAGAAAAGAAAAAAAAAGGAATTATGTTGGCATTCCTGTGTGGTCCCTATCCCTTCATGTGGAGAATATGTTCTCGGTTAATTTGAGGAGCTATCTGATTCAGTATCAGTGTTCCAACTTTGCTAGTGCATAATGTGATGCCTGTTCTTGCTTGATTATTTCGTCATCACCTTGACATTAAACTGAAACTTCTGTGACACTTTGTCGCATTTGGGCACTAGCGTAGGTTACCTTGGCGAGAAGGATTCTACATCTGAGATCTTGGACAGTGAAGGATGGTTGAGGACAGGAGATGTTTGTTATATTGACCAAGTCGGGTTCATTTACACTGTGGATAGGCTGAAAGAGTTAATTAAGTACAAAGGCTACCAGGTATCTATCTGCTAGTGTTTTAAATTTTCTAATTAGCAATAATAATCCCATGACCTAGCAGAGCATCTGTTACAGACTTTCAGTGTCAGCTTGCCTTCTCCCCTGAATCCTGATGGCATAGTATATGTTTCATTCAGGTGCCTCCTGCAGAACTCGAAAGCCTGCTTCAGACACACCCAGATATTGTTGAAGCCGCAGTTGTCCCGTAAGTACACATACACCCAGAAAACATGAGAATCAATCCTTTAAAAAAAGATACTAATGGAATATTACAATAACTATTCTTCATAATACAGATACCCTGATGACGAGGCTGGAGGGTTCCAAAGCATCAACGACTGGTACAGATCATTGGAGCTGATGTGGTAGATCCAAGATGACGCAACAGTCCATGCTCCCCCAAAACCGGCGATTGGGGTAGGAGTTGTTGGAGATCACGTGATCCTTGAGATTGTACTTGTCGAGGACGACGATGAAGAGGAAGCACAAATGGCCATAGTTGTCAGGTGACTTCTCCAAGGTCATAGGGACGAGGACCTTATGTTGAGGATGGCAATCGCCTGCATGCGAAGGGTGGCGTTGGTGGCTTCCTTGTTGGTGAGATCCCGATCGCGTGCCTCAGCAGCATGGTGAGTGGCCTCGTTCGTGAGGTGCTGGGGCCTCAACGGTGGAGGCGGAGGCGTCATTGTTGGCGCCATGGCGTCATTGGGAGCCAGAGGAGCTGCAGTAGGAAAACCACCAGGTGGTGCCACTGTGCCTGCAGGGAACTGCCTGTAGTGGAGCAGGGGCTATAGGTGTCTGCACTTCAGTGTCCTCTATTTTATCCTGCCACTGATAATACTGACAGCCTCCGATATGAAACCCAAAACATCAACACATTGTCACCAAACAACAAAAAAGAAATAGGAAAAGAAAAAAATGAGCAGAGAAGGAAACACAAACTGCAAAATAGGGGCACTTGTGAAATGCATAGTTGTTGTTCTTCCTGGTCATCGAGATGAAACGATTGGCAAGTACATGACAGTTGGGGCAAATCACCTGCTTGACCCTACCACCATAGCTGCTAGAAGCTTGAGACATGGCTGTGGCAGGAGAGAGGTGAAGGAGATAGAGCTCAAGTTGGATGAGTGGCAATAGATAGGGCTCAGGACCTATATATAGGAGGAGAAGCCCAGGGGCTCAGTTGGCGCCAACAACCCTGGCTTTGGCACCAAAACGCTCGGCCTGGAGCTGGCTTGGGAATGGCACATAAGCAAATCAACTAGTTCACAGAGCCTCTCAAGCCTAAGGGCATCTAAGTCATTTGGCTGCGTCGTTAACCACCGTTAGGAGCAAAACTGAATGGAATGGCGTGTTGGACAAAAGAGTTTAGCGTCATAGCACCAGGATCCGTGTGAACTTTTTAGTGACATGCAGAAATAAAACATCTTTCATAGTGGCACAAGAGGAAAGGCTCTTTTTCTTTCTACACCCAACTGGCATACTTTGCCAAATCGCCACCCATTACTTTCTCCACAACGGCGCCGCTGCCGCCGCGGTGCCTCCCCCATCCCCTCCACCACCGTCCCTTCCGTCCTCATGGACCTGGTAAAGCTGGCACTGCAACTCTCAAAGCGCGCAGGCGACAGCACCTCCCAATGGCTGGCGGCCGCGACCGCGCGGGCTTGGAGACACGGGAAGCTCTCAGCGTCGAGGCCTCCTACCCCGCCGCCGTCGACTTCACCGCCGTCGAGTTCCTCCGCCCCGGCATTCTCCTTCTCCAACCCCTCATGGAGATGCAGGGAAGCTCTCAGCGTCGAGGCCTCCTACCCCTCCGCCACCGACTTCACCACCGTCGAGTTCATCCGCCCCGGCATTCTCCTTCTCCAACCCCTCATGGAAGCTTCCAACTGCCTCGCCAACGTCTTCAACCGCAAAGGCCCCTCCATTTTCTTCCTCTACACCTACAAGGCTTCCTGCCCCCGCCTACGTCTTCGTCCTCCAAGGCCCCGCTGCTGATTTCTTCCACCAAGCCTACAAGGTAGATCCCCCGCTGCCGCTATTCATGTTTTTCTCGATCACGCAAAAGGCCGCTCTCTATCTCTCCATGCTATTCAATTCATTCATCGGTGCTATCCTGTATGTTCCAGGGAGCAGGGGTACAGAGGAGTGGGGATAGGCATCGCGCTGCGCTCGACTCACCTTGCAACATGTAGATTCACTACTCTTCCGGCCCGGCTTCCACCACTTTCTGAACTAAGGTAATCTAAGAATAGTTAGGCTACTGCCATAAGAAATCTGTTTTAGTTCGGCTCAATGAGCCAACAACGTGGAAAGTCGCTGATATAAGTAGATATATTAATTTGTAACTAAACTTGACATCAACCGTCAAAACTGCTTTTTTGGTAGGCCATAATATCATTGAGTGGTTTAAAGGATTTTTGTGCCTAATCCTTCAGCGTCTGTTTGTGCACATCAAAAATTAAAAGGAATATTGCACAGGAAAAAAATACTGAATGTGCCCATAAATCTGAGCTTAGTTATCCTTTCTTATTCTATTTCATGCATAAGAATGGTAAGGCCTTATCTGAACCCGGTAAGATCTTACTCATAAGATGTACTTATAAAGTACATAGGCTCGGATCATCATGAGACACAAATAAACAAAAATGCATCAATATGGTCCTTGGAAAATTCTAACAGCAATGATAAGGGCATTTAGAATACCTAGGATTCTAAAGGACATTGTTTTAGGCTTTTAGATATGGCAACATGGAACACGTATTGTACTTAAATCCGTCAGCAACATTTTTTCCTTGCCAATAGCGACATATGTAGCATTCTTTTTCCCCCGTAGGTTCACTGTTTTCCGATTTGCTACTGCGGTTATGATCAAGCAGACAGCTGGCCCGAGGTTTGGGTTCCCATTCTTGAGCACTTAAAGCTTCACCATGATCCATTCCCCGATGCTCCTTTAGATGGCTCCTATACCAACCAACTCTCAACTGATCATTTCAGACAGATGCCTCAGTCCATCTGGCTTTGGCCTTTTACTCTTAAGTTGTTCTATTACATCGCAAATTGCATTCAAACACAACTCATAACATTCTTTAACACATTTGCCCCTCATAGTATGGCTATCTATGCTGACATTTCTCATCCTCTAATCACCTCCTTCTCATGACCGGCTAAAAACAAAGCCTATTTTATGAAGTCTATTTAGATTCAGTGATCTACTGATCTTCAAATCTACTTTGGGTTGTTTGGAAACTACTTTCTATATAACAAGTGTTGCTACGAGGTGATTATTAGTAATCGTTGCTTGTTGTTGGTGATTTATCCCAAAATAGAGAGAGCGAGGAGAACATTAGAGAAAGTAAGAAAGAGAGCAAATGGCCACAAGTCAACCTCTAAACCCTAGTGCTCTATTTATAGGAAGGGGAGATTGTTGCCCCAATGGATTGTGAATTACAAGCAAGTCCTTATATGTTCCTAATATTCCCTTGGACGCTTACAAATACACCATGGACCTATCATTTAGAACTCTTTTGTATACAAAGGGCGAGAATATCCATCATCTATTTGGTTTTGGTTGGACAATGAGATCTAACAGCTACTTCTACTAGAAGAGGCCCAACTACAACACTCCAATTTTCATTGCCAGAGTTTCATGTTGAAGTTGTTAATGAGCGACGCCTGATCCTAGGAGCCACCAAACATGGGTGACCATGGTGTCGGCGGCTGTTACAGCCCTGGTGAAGACTCCATGGATAGGGCTAGCATAGGGACCCCTCCCCCGTATGTGAAGCCCAGGGGCGCCGTCGGGTAGTAGGGCCTTGGGTAGGGCACGACGTGGAGCACCGACTGGGGTGGTCATACAACGAGGACAGGGGGCAGCGTCTGGCCAGGGAGACCAGTGTAGCTATGAGGCTAGGGCTGCACCATGCTAGACCATGGGTTGGCGTGGGGCGGCACGGGGCTAGTCTACGCGTTGGGGTACGGGGCGCCACCAGGGTGGGGACCACGAAGGCCATCGCTGGTCTTGCCACTCACGTCCATGACGGCGAGTGTTGCGCTGGCCAAAGGTAGCGCAAAACCGGCAGGGGCCGGTTGCATTGGGCACGGCGACGGCTGCGGTGGTGCCGCAACAAACGCCGGCGGTGCTACCGGAGGGTCATCGTCTGGGGTGTCAACAATGTTGATCTCCTCGAGGAGCAACAGCGTGCGCACCGCGTCGAATGTGGGGAACGACCGCTACATCTTCAAGTTAGACACCATGTGTCGAAATTTGCCATTGAGGCCACGAAGGAGGGTGAGGACCAGTTGTCGATCGTCGGTCGGATCACCAAGGTCGGCGAGGGAGGCGGCCATCGTCTCTAGGTGGCAACAATATTCTGTGATGGAGAGGATGCCCTGTTTGAGGGTGCGAAACTCGGCCTCCAGCAGCAGGGCACGGAACTCGCACTACCTGAGGAATTCATCCTCGAGGTAGAGCCACACGGTCTTGCCGGTAGCGTTATAATTTGTCATGCAGGTTGTGCACTACAAGAGAATCCACCATGTTTTTTCTTGTGGATTCCATACCACAAAATGCGGCAGGTAAGATTCTACGGAAGGACTTGGCCAAGCTAGCATTGCGGCGTATTAGTTCCAAGCTATAGTATGTAGTTGCATTGTATGTGATGTCATTTTTTGTTGGATAAGTAGGTAGATCAGTTGCAACGTGATGTCAGGGTGTCACCCCTCGCCATGACTGTATAAAAGTTCTAGCAGATATCACGTTTGTAATCAGTTTAAGACATTGAGAGTAATTGAGTAAGTGTGAATTTTAAATTATATGCATTGTTTAAATATCTATAGATTGAGATTATATCAGATACTACGTACTCTGATGAATTTGTACCCTGGAGTATTATTATTCGTAGCCACTCCAAACGTGTCTCCAATAACCAATATGATCATAATTTTATTTTAGTAGTGGAACTGCAAATATCAAAAATTAAATTCAAATATTTGGCACATCCACCAATATTCGTTCAGTTTCGAAAGGATAGGGGCAAAACAACACTGATAACAAATTTAGGAAAGAAAGAGAGAGATGATATGGAGATGAATGCGTAACAGTCTAATAGGAATTGCAGACTGTAAGTTCTTCATTCAGTTCAGGATGGGTACTTTTCCCACCAGCGTCTTGAACTCCTCTGAAATGCTAAAAGATAATTTTAATTAGCAAGCGCATAGTAGGCAACTAAACAGTGGAACTCTAAACAGCAAAAAGTTAAATACAAATATCTGCCTTATTAGTCCATTGATCAGATTGGAACCAAATTTGACAGATCTCTTGATTAGAGAAAATCTACCAGTACATCAAGAACTTCAAGAAAATAGAAACAAGTGGCATTCTCTGCAGCAGGCCAGCAGTAAATCAAGAACCCCAAGAACAGAAAATAGAAGCAATCAGCATTCTCTGCAGATAGATGTCGATCCTAAGCTTTTCATTCCACTGCACCCAAAAGCATAGTTTCTAGAAAAGCTGGAAGTGGCTGGGTATTCCAGATATATATTTTCCAACCGTGAGCAGAAGCCTGCGAACTGATTGGCCATCATAGATTGGCAATCGGACGTAACAGTTTTTTTTTATTATTCACCCTGTTTGCTGATGCTAAAATTTGACTTATGCTGAAATGTTGTGAGAAAAAAATACTATTATCTAACTAAAAAAATAGTTTTCAATAAGGTCGAACGAACATGCCATTATTCGCTACCGTGGCCGGTGGCCAGTTGCCTTCCGAGCCGTGCAGGTCTCTTGACTTGATTCAGCAGCGTCAGTGTCCAGCCGCCACCCCGCCCACCTCGCCGTCGTACTCGTACACGCGCGCACCAACCGCCCCGGCGAAGCACAGCACCGTACCCATGCCGCCGTCTCCGTCCGACCCCGACATCGACCCGCGCAGCGGCTACTGCGCGGCCACGAGGACGTTCCACAGCCTGCATTCGCCGGCGCCGCTACCTCCGCCGGACCTCCCGCTCTCCTTCCCGGCCTTTGCGCTGTCCTTCCTCCCCGACCCGCTGCCCCCGTCATCCCGCGCCCGGCGCTCGTCGACGCCGGCACCGGCGCGGCAGTCCCGTTCCCGGCGTTCCTGTCCAGTGTAAGAGACAAGAATGGGAGAGAATGCTCAGTCGTATTCCATGACAGTGTATGAGTACATATACAAGTGCCAGAGCACTCGTGGTCGTAGGCTACTAACTGCTAACCTGAAGACTCGGATCAGCCGAAGAATCGGTCCCAAACGTGGCCATGACCCTATACAACAAACTAACCAGCTGATCTTTATCTATCTATAGTATGCGGAGGAATAGGTCGTTGACACCCCCTCTCAGTTGAAGCATCGGTCGTCCGTATGCATAAATTGTCTCTGAATTCGTTAAACAAAGTTGTAGGTAGCCCTTTTGTCATAATGTCTGCAAACTGGTGCTGAGTCGGGATGTGCAGAACTTTGAACTGGCCAAGGGCATCCTTCTCTCGCACAAAATGGATGTCAAGCTCCACATGCTTCGTTCGTCGATGGTGCACTAGGTTTTCAGAGAGGTAAACCGCTGAGACATTGTCACAGTAGATTACCGTGGCCTTGTCGATGCGCACATGAAGTTCGCGAAGCAGATTCCTGAGCCAACAGCACTCTGCGGCAGCGTTGGCCACAGCTCGGTACTCGGCCTCTGCGCTAGACCGGGATACCGTCGTTTGGCGCTTCGACGACCATGACACCAGAGAGTTCCCGAGGAAGACGCAGTAGCCCGAGGTCGAGCGTCGAGTGTCCGGGCATCTAGCCCAGTCAGCGTCGGAGTACACCTTGAGCTCAGTCGACGGTGTCGCGGAGATCCTGATGCCGTGGTGAATTGTGTCACGGAGATAGCGTAGGATACGCTTGACGAGGTTCCAGTGCACATCATGTGGAGCCTGCATGTGTAAGCATGCCTAGTTCACTGCATACGCAATGTCCGGTCGCGTTCGTGTGAGATACTGTAGCACGCCGGTGATGCTGCGGTAGAAGGAGCCGTCCTCCGCAGGTTTTCCATCTGCTGCTGACAGCTTCGGCTTGGCCTCCACTGGAGTGGAGGCTGGCTTGCAGTTGGCCATCCCCGCTCGCTCGAGGATGTCCTCCGTGTACTGAGCTTGGTTGAGGAGGAAGCCGTCATCATCACGACGCACCTGAAC